CGCCCCCCCCCCCACCCTCTCTCTCTTTAGTTGCACGCACACGTCGTTTCATTCTTATATTTGCGATCACCGGGCTGCGTACAACGGTTTGTGTTTCTGTCATGTAGCTTCTCTTGCGCGTGCGTAGCTCGCATCTATGTAATTCCTGGCAGGACCGCTAGGAGGGAAGGTTGAGTTTTGTAGCCGTTTCTCTGTGTATATGGGTTTTGATCCATTCGCCTACAGTAGCAGTACCACAGTGAGTGTCGTTTGGGTGGAAAATGCGAGAGAAGAGTCGTTCGTTACATAGTCTAGATAGGGAGAGCGTACGTTTTTCACACAGCGGGGGGCAGGGTCTCTCCCCGTTGGATTCGTTCGTTCTGAAGGGGTGTTGGTAATGGATGGTATGATATGTTATGATGCACGAGCTGCTGGTGACAAGATGGTGATGATTGTAACGGGTGCGTGTGTGCTTTGTGGCGTGGCTTCCTGGGCTCGTTTGGGTGTGTACTTGTAGAGATCCGAGCGGTCTCGATCATTCATTCCGACAGGATCGTAACCTCACACCAAACATTTATGAAAGTAGTTGCATGTAACATGAATCAAGATGTACTCTACTAGGTGAGGTATCTTCAGCAGTGCACCATGTATGTGCGTGTCTCGCAATCTTCTCTCCTGTTTGCGTGTTTTGTTTTCATGGGAAATGATGTTTTCGCTGCAGACAAGCCTGCTGAAGTTTTCACTCTTGTTGTTCCCGTACTAAGACTGACGATTGATCGGGTCTTGTCAATTCTCTTCGATCGCTCGCGATGGGAGTCGTTGCCACCGCAGGTGGAAAAGACGTCGTCGTTTGGGGTTGACATGCTATTCTTGTCCCCCTCTCTGTCTGGCGATTGGCGATGATGGTGTGTGTCTTCAGCGCGTCTCGTGTGGAAGAAGTGCAGTATCCGACACAAGGTATCACACCCCCTGGACCGATTTCCAAAGCTCGATACTGGGCGACATGCAAAAACGAAACGAACCCTCTTCCGGAAAGCTCTCGAAGAGATAGACGGCTTCAACGTCCCCGTTGTCGGCGCTGTAGCTCGTTCTGCTGTTGAGAAAATCGAGCTTTGAAAATCGGTCCAGGGTGTTGCGTCTTGTGTCATGTTAACGGTAGTACAACCCGAAAGCTGCACCTGGGGTGTGACTTGGTCTTTCTTCGGGTTCTAACAAACCAGACGACTGCATACATATTGACGATAGATCATTCGTCTCTTGGCCATTCATCAAGTGAATCAACCTCGAAGGGACTAGTATATTGGTCGATTGCGGGCGATCTAGAAGGTGGGATTCGCCCAGAAGATTTTGAGGGCCGAGTGCGCGAACGCGTGTTTTCATCAAGCAACAAGCGAGAAATCTCGCGAGTTTGCTCATCCTCTCCTCTCGAACGGTTATCTTCCAGTGATTATACGTACACAAGTATGTCTTTGGGAACTTTCCCGACGGAGAACATACCCAGGCTCCCTGACGGAGCTCCCACTTTCTCTCCTCTTTTTTCGCCGGTCGGTGCCATCGATAATCTTAATCTGTACCCCGATACCCAACTACACTACAGTAAGTAGGGCAAACTAACGGGCACTACACGCTTTCTCGAGTGTGGGTCAACCAACGAAAGCCCTCTCCAACTCACGACGCGCTCGCTCCACGCATGGCTCAACGCCAACTGCGAACGACACGAGACAGACAGGTGTGTCGGTAGCGCGCAGATGCAAGCTGACCCGTACCAAGCCAGAATCGACACAAACAGTTGAGGTCCCTGTTTAGTGCCGGTAGCATGCGTCCAGAAAGTTCATCGGCACCATCAATATATACGGGTCCGGCACTTCGACGATGACTCGGAAATTCAGTGAGTGCCCGCCGAAAACACCGGCAATATAACCGGCACTAAACAGGGACCTCTACTCTACCCCACAACAAACCCAGGCACACACAAGGCCAGGCCGAGCGACTCCAACAAATGTTGGCCCCTCCTTCGATGTGGCAGCGAAAGCTTTCACGATGTTCCCCCGGTGGAGCTAGCTTATTCATTCCCTTCGTTTCTTCCTATCCACCGGCAGCGGAAGGGGGCTGGCTCATTACGTGAGAATACGGGGGGGCTTAGAAGAAGGCGAACTTGATGACCAGCGTGAATACCACTTGGAGCACCCTGGGGAGGGGCATCGTTAGGAAGAGGGCAGAAAGGAACGGGGGTCACACGAGGTCATGGCATCATGGCATCATATCGAAGCCTGTTCGATTCGAACAGGAAGAAACGTTCTTGTGTCGTTGTGAAAGAATTCAAGTCGCGAAAGGCTGGAACCAGGTACTATTGCTGTAATGTGACAGAAAACGCGCGGAACAAAGTCAGACTGTCTTTCTCTATTTCTTCTTCGCTTTAACCAGGAAGAAACGTGCTTCATTTTTATAGTAAAAGCAAGAGCAGCGGTCAGCCGCTGTGTGTGGCACAGCAGTCCAAGGGCCGACGCAAAACCGCCTGTTGTAGCGATCCGAGTTCTTGCTTTGTCCCGCCAATTTAATTCTAGGTCGTTTCCTTACCGCGTTGATTTTTGGGCTGTTCGCCTCAGAATTATCACGGATTAAGATGAGCGAGTGCCGTTTCTCTCAAAAAGAAAATAAAAACAAGGTCTGGCGTAATGCCGCATGCATACTCAACACGCAATACGAAAACTCGGGGAGGTACGCAGCAGAAGTGTTACCATAAATATTGCCGGTTGGAAGTGAGAAAAATAGTGCGCGGTATTGAAAAACTTTGTGGCACAGCAGACAGAATCATCAAGCCGTTTTTTGTGCCATGAATCGTGCCGGCCACTCGGAATTTTCGGCGGGACAACTACCGGGACGACTGAGGGACCGCTACCGTAACCGATTCCCAGGGTTCCAGGCACGATCGCATCGTCGCCAAAACGCCACATAGGTATCCATACCTCACAAAAAAACAACGACATCGGCCGCTCTGCGTAGGACAAACATCGCCAAAAGACACAAGAAGGAGAGGGAGACACACTCTGGCTGCGTGCACCATGTTCGCGTGCTGGCCGGGCCGTGATGCACGAGGCTGCCAAAAACATCAACGGTCGGTGTACTGTGGAAGCACGCCAGTACATGCTATCGTGATGATCGAGACGACAGGCCAACGACGACAACCAAACATTAAAGACCAATAGATTAGCCCTAACCCTGCCATCACTGGCGACGCCATCGCCACGAATCCACTGGTCAGCGACGACGACGACGGAAAAAAAAATAATAATAAAAAAAAGATAATAAAAAAAAGAAACAAACTCAAGATGAGACCAGTTTCCAGCCAGTTTCCCTCCACTCATTGAAAATACTTCAGCACACCCCTTTTCGACTACTGTGGGTATATCTCGAACGGGTCGTCGCTGCGATATGATGTACACTGTCAAAAAAAGAAAGGCACAGTCACCCTAACCCTGCCATCACTGCCGACGCCACTGTCATGAAACGACTGGCCAGCGACGACGACGACAAAAATAAAGCAAAGACAAAGAGCAAGGAACACACAACTCACCCTAACCCTGCCATCACCGGCGACGCCATCGCCACGTTCCGCTCTAGCAAGACCGGAGTCAGGGCTCGGAGCAGGAACACCACCGACAGGGTCCCCGCGGCGGACAGGGCCACCAGCGTCATGTAGGGCACAGGCAGCGCGCACACGAGCATCGCGGGGAGGTACGGCCCCAACGAGTACCCGTACATGCACCCCAGCTGCAAAAAATAAAAAAAACGACAGAAAAAAAAAATGCACGAGGATAACAACGACGAGACGGAAGACGGGGGGGGG